GGGGGGGGAGTCTGTCCTCTTAGTAGTGGGCCCAAATTAGCCCAAGACTAAAGTTTGCTCTGGGCTGCCCTAACATGCTTACATGCAAACCTTTGAAAGCATCCAAATGATTTCAAGTAACTTAACTGAGCTCCAGGACAAAATGTAACACTGTTCAACAAAATCCAGTGCACTAAAATGTCAGAATCACAAGTGTCCAACAGCCATTCAAAAATTACAAGGCATGTAAATAAGCAGGAACATATAACTAACAGAAAAGTCAGTCAGTGGAAAAAGACCCAGAAATTACCGAGATGATGGAATTACCATACAAGGGTGTTATATATAGCTATTATAAATGCCACATGTGTTCAAGAAGGTAAAGGAAAACATGAACACGAGAGAGAACTGGAATACACACACACATACATACACACACTTTTTTTTTTTTTTTAAAGAGAAAAACCCACATAGAATTTCTGGAGATGAAAAATACAGTATCTGAAGTGACTCTTCAGAAGAAAAGATCAGCAACTTTGATGATATGACAATAGAAACTATGCAAAATGAAGCATGGAGAAGAAACAAAATCTAAACACAGCAACAGATATGTGGATAATATCAAATAGTCTTTGTTTGCAGAAGATAAGATCTCATGTAGAAAATTCTAACAATCTACAAAAAGCTGGTAGAGCTAAAAAGTGACTTAGCAGGATTACAGGCTACAAGATCAGTGTATAAAATTAATTGCATTTTTATATGCTAGCAACAAGCAACTGGAGATTGAAATTTATAAAACAACTTTTTTAATAGCATAAAATATTAAATACTTAGGGATAAACAGAATGAAATGTAAGAAAGACCTGCATGATGAAAACTAAAACATTAAGAAAAATTGATAAAGGCCTTAAATAGAGAACTGTATTATGCTCTTCGATCATTATTAAGAGACTGGTTTTCCCCAAATTGATCTATAAATTGAATGCAATCCCAATAAAAGTTCCAGAAGTAAGTCTTACAGAAATTGACAAGAGGATTCTAAAAATTACGTGGGAATGCAAAAGACCTAGTATAGTCAAAACAATTTGAAAAGAAGTCTAATATTGGAGGATTTAAACTACCTGACTTCAGAGTTCTAGTGGAAAGCCACAGTACTCAAGACAGTGTGGTGCTGGTGTAAGTATAGGAATATAAATCAGTGGGATAAAATATAGAATCCAGAAATAAGGTGCACATAAATTGTTTGACAAAGGTGCCAAGGTAATTCTTCGGAAAGGATAGTGTTTTCAGCAAATAGTGTTGGAACAATTGGATATCCATATGTAGAACATGAACTTCCGCTACCTCACAGTACACATGAATTAATTTGAAATGTATTTTAGATCTGAATGTAAAACCTAAACTGTTAAACAAGGGGAATGTAGGAGAAAAAACTTTTATGTTCTGCGGTTGGGGAAAAAAAAAAAAGTCTTGTAGAGACCACATAAAAAACATGAAGCTTAAAAGAAAAATGATGAATTGAATTTCATGAATTGCAAATAAGCACATGAAAAGATGCTCAGTGTTATTAGTCATTAGGGAAATGCAAATTAAAGCCACTGTGAACCAAACTCAGTACCACTACACACAGTACCTCTAGAATGGCTACAATTAAAAACATTGATAACACCAAATGTTAAGAGAAAATGTGGTGAAACGAGCTCTTATACATTGCTGGTAATGCAACATGTTTCAGTCACTTTGGAAAACAGTTGGCAGTTTCTTATGAAGTCGGACATACCCCTGCCAGCTGATCTGGCAGTTCCTTCCTACGGTGTTTACTTAAGAGGAATGAGGATGTGTGTTCACACAAAGACTTAAATTTAAATGTTCATAGCTGCTTTATTCGTAATAGCCAAAAACTGGAAATGACACAAGTGTTTTTTAATTGGTTAATAAACAAATTGTGGGATATCCATCTATTTAGTGAAATATTGCTCAGCAGTGAGAAGGAACAAACTACTGTTATAAGCAATAATATGGACGGTTTTCCAGTGTTACACTAATGAAAGAACCAGACTTCCAGAAAAAGACTCTTACTTTATGACTCCATATAAATGAAATCTAGAAGATCAATGGTTTTTGGGGACCAGTACTGGTGGGTGAAGGAATTTACACATGAGCATAAGGAAATTTGGGGGTGATGGGCATGCGGTATGTGACCATTGTGGTGGTCATTATACATTTGTCATGTATACAGGTGCATACATTTGTCAGAGCTCACTGAACTCTCAATTAAATGCTTTTGTTTTGTGTCTAAATTAATACCTCCAGTACCTCACTAAAGCTGTTTTTTTTTTTTGTTTTTTAAATGTATCTTTATTGATTTCAGAGAGAGGAAAGGAGAGGGAGAGAGAGAGGTAGAAACATCAATGATGAGAGAGTCATTGATCGGCTGCAGCCCACAACCCGGGCATGTGCCTCGACTAGGAATCGAACCCTGATTGCCTGGATCCTAGGTCGACGCTCAACCACTGAGCTATATCTGGCTGGGCACTAAAGCTGTTTTTAAGGGGGAAGATACGAGCCCAAGGTACTTCCCTAGGATGTGGCCTTAGGCATTGACATGTTTTATGAACTCTGTAGCTGATTTTAATACTGTCCTAGACAAAGCCGTGAAAAACTACCTCAGTTGTTCCTTAAGAGAAAAGCACAGTGAAATTCTGCTTTCTAAAAAGTGACTCTTTAGTGAACATGTGAAAATCTGGAGAGATTTGTAAGAGGAAAGTAAGTTTGTTTTGAGTCCAAGTAACTCTTTAAAATTTTAAAGAATATGCCTTAATTGTTCCCCAAGATGTTTTTCAAGGTTTGGTTTGTTTCTGGTAAGTTCAGGTCTTTCAAAACATGAAAA